TTACAATACAGGATGTAACGAAAACGCTTTACTTGACTGCAGGCCGCGGCGGTGTCATAGATTAGAATCCACTAAAAACGTAGTTGTAGTGTAGTTACCTTTTCCTCACGTTTTAATATAGGTACAGGAAAGCAAACCTTATAAGTTTCACTTTGTTAGTAATTTTTTTATGTTATTCGCAAAAGCAATCGAGACTTCGTTGCCAAAATCGAAGATTCTTCAAATATAAAATTTAAAATTAAATACAAAAGAAATATAAATATGGCAAAAGGTGTATGCAAGTCATTTTCATAGTTAGTAAATGATGTTGAAAATTATTACTGCCGGTCATGGACTTTCCGACATTATATAAAAAGATTCAAATAAGAATAGAGGACTGACCTCACGCCATCTTGTGACATCACAACTGTCAACTCAAACCAGTTAGGTAGAGTGTCATCATCACCAACATCATCATCGTCTGCTGCTTTCCCCAATAAAAATAGAATATGTATTTATTTAGGTAGGTATTTTAAATATTGTGCACCGACTGCTATTTCAAAGAAGAAAATAGATTTTATTACCTGTGTCTAAAATAAAAGTAAAGTTATCGTTATTAAAATAGTTCTTTTTGCAGGTATACATTTTAGAAAATAGATATAAATAATATATTAAAAAAGCTTTTAAATTTAAAAGTGGTAAATTAATTTCCCTTGCAAGCCGTAATTTTCAAAGACAGATGAAAGATCGCGGTCATTAGAGGTCATTGACTACCTATTTATATTTGAAACGTATTAAATATTGCCAGCCCTTGAAACGGTGGGTTACCGGACGTAGTCAGTACCTACTTTGTGAGGCTATGGTAATAGTACCATAGCCGACAGTAGCCACGAATAAAGATTGGTGGCTATGGAACTATAAAATGAGAGAAGTATTAATTAACTACAATATCGTCCCCGATTATAGAGATGTCGATTTCGCATACTAGATTATCTCTTTACCAATTTTAATATCCCTTCTTGTTATAATATTATGTCAAGTAATTCCAATTCCAATATGAATCTTAAAATTAACTTTTAAATATTTAAAGTTGTTCCGCGTGCAATATCAAATCATAAATAATCACTGCGCTGCACAGCAACTGTCATTGTTTTGTTTCTGGGAATCATTGGCAGCATTGTTTGTATTACCATGCGGTTAGTTTTCCGCTAACCGGTGCAATTGATCTCTTTGTTCATGCCTTCGAACTTCGGTAGTAACTGAGTCGTACTGTTGGTGTTAATTCGTTGAAATTAGGATACATTCACGCTTAATACAAAACTGCACTGTATGAACAACTACCGAAAAGTTATAATATGTTGAAGCAAAATAATAACAATTTATTACTACCAATATTTGAAATGTTTCTTTATATTATACTATATATATATATATACAGTATATTATACTAAAACTTTACAACTGTTAAATGTTACTGTTGTAAAAATGACGTACTTATGAATATACATATTATAACGTAATATGTTTTATGGTCCTTTAAGTTTCCTTTGTTTTGTTGGTGGGCGTTGCTAGTTCTCAACTTTTGAAAGAATGCGAATATGGTTACGTTCGTTCTGTCGAAACAGCATGACTAACGCTCCGACCGAGTCTCGGACAAAGCCTATTTCGCAGAATCGATGTCGGAGAAGATGAAAAATTATAAGGAAAAAGAAGGGATTTCACTTTATATATTGCTGCAATTTAATCGTAGAAGTTCAGTTACGGTTTCTAAAAGGTTATAAAGACGGACTAAATTGAAAACGTATTGTTTCAAAGTGGTCTTAATCGAAATGGTGAATAATTTGAGTCAACACTTTCATTTATACGGAGAATTCATTTACGAAGTTGCGACCCCGTTAGCGTACTGGATGGTGAACGTTTCTTGCGATTATTTAAAATTGCACATTATTTACAAAAGAAATTGGCGATTATTTAATATATTTTTCCATTAACAAGTACTTAAAGATTTAACGTTATGTCAAAATAGTTTTTATTTGCTTACCTTAGGACCAAAATGACAAACAAACGAATTTAATGCTAAGCAAGCTCTAATTACTTTCTTTGAGTATGGTCGTAAGATTGCCTAAGAAAGTAATTTATCAGACGGGAAATAAAATTTGGCTGTTAGTTAAAGGCTTTAATAACAGGGTGCAATAATGCAACCGACGGGTGTTTCTCACAGTCCGTGTATGTAGTAGGAACGCACTATGTAATTAGATCACAGGTAAACATGTGAGAAAGGTCTCACGCTGCCGACAACGTGGATCTGTATTAAAGTGTTATGTTTAATCAGAATAATGATTCTTCACGGATTTAAACATCCGACTTGTAAGCTAAGTTTTTAGTTAGTTCCAGAGCCAATTAAGTCAAATCTATACCAGTTATAAAACTAACACGTCTCTCCATATTTTTAAAGTAAATCTTAAACTTTAAGTGATTCTCAAACGTTATTAACTAATTAATAACGTTTTAGGTGGTTTTCCGGCTCCGAAACGGCGCAACGGATTTTAACGAAACTTATTAGGTTTTTAATGAATTTTATAGCTTAACTGTTATATATTTATCTTTGAATATCTGGCACTAGCAGCTTTTAGGACATTAGAATATAATTATCTATTTAAAGTGAACATACTGTACAATATATGCATCATATACTTATCAATATACAATTTCTATACGACGCTAAGTAGGTACTTTGTCTCAATGTTTGTCAAATCAAATTTACATTGGTGCAAACCATGATTATTTGGGCTTGATTACATTTATTATTTTATTAGGCTATTTAAAAACTTATATCTTGTAAATGTAGAGCCGTAATACTTTCCTTATAGATTTTAACATTTAAAAAGATCTTTTAACAAGCCTATATGGAATAAAGAAATATTGACTTTGACTTTAAGATAAGCCAATAAAATAATTAACTGGAGTCATTGTCCCCAGAAAGCTTATCTATAACCTTCGCTAGCTTATTAGTGTCAGAGTAGAGCATACTTAAACTGCATGAATCATTAACATTTTTTTGTAAGAAGAATCGATCGCCTCGAACGATAACAAGTTCACTCCGAAGTTATTTAACCTGACGTTTCCGGTTCGGTTATCTCGAAAGTTCAAGTGGCCCCTTATTAAACAGTGGGAAAGAAGTAATTATTATAGCCAAGAATTGCATTACCTTAATGAAACGCTACTAATACGTCTTTTCTTATTTTTATACATCTATCATAAATAATACTACGGCCAAATTTATAATTGATTTTTTATTTATTCCAATTACTTATACCTTATTTACTAAATGGGGAGCATGAAGAGCTTATTAAACTTAAATATAAAATACAAAATAGACTTTTACAGAAGCATCCACACAAATACAGAGTAAATAGCTGTAATTAAAGTAAATAACATATATAATTAATATCTTTGTTAGAATAAAGTACTTTCAACAGAGGTTTCTTTTAATGAAGATTGAAGGAAGCTATTAACTTTGCTTAAGAACATGTGACGTGTTTCAATGTGGAGTCACTTGAAAAGCGCGAAGGAACTGACCAACCACATATTTTTCAACATCGGCATACTTAGGCCTCTGACTCACTGGTGTGAAAGCGTGATTATGACAAATACGCGCCGATCGTGGGGAGTGAGGTTTAAAGAGTTTCGTTTTTACGTTCATCTTAACGAGTTAGGTGGATGATGTATTTGTTTATTCCGTCCTTAAAATTCCACTCATCTGCGTCACGAATAACAGCGGTTCAAAGGGGTTACCTGTTTAATTTTTTTTAAAGTTTAGGGTCATTAAATAAAAAAAATCTTCTTGCTGCCTGAGGATGGTCGAGACAATTGGTATACCAAACTTTTAAACAGTTAACCCCTTTGAACTGCTGTTATTCGTGACGCAGCTGCGTGGAATTTTTTTAAATTCTCTTCAGGCAGCAAGAAGATTTTTTTTTTTAACTTTTTAATTCCATTATATTCCACATAAAATTTTATATGCTATTAATTTTCACATTTATTTTATTATTATTTGAAATGGGATGATCATGGTATATTAAAAAGACAAGGGACTGTACTGATTCATTGGACTTTTCCCATGGACGATCTGTGTTTGACCAAGCCTTGCAAATTTTAATAATGAAACGTGCTGTGCGACTAAAAACACTTCTATAAACTATTATCACATCTGTGTAACACGTTTTACGCACGTGCACGCGTGGCATACAATACGAGCACTCTTTTCCACATTTTACGGTACAACTCTGCGGGTTTTACTTAACGCCATAGAAATATAAACAAAGCTGTGCCATAAAAGAGCGAGATGCGAGAATTAATACGAGCCGATGTTAGAAAGAGAGCGCGTGGAGCCCACGTGAGCTACGTTAACAATAGATAACAAAAAGTCCCTACCTACCTGGAAGGTAGAGGCTTGCGTGTCCCGCCCCCGCGTCGACTCACGTCTCACGCCAGTCTGCCCGAAAGCCTCCACGGAGACGTTCGCAGGCCGTTAAGCTTTCTAGTCGAATTCGTAATTATTTCGATTTTACGACAATTACAAGCGTTCCGTCATTAAAGCGGTCCCAGTGATTAAGCCGGTGTCCTAGTTAGTGCGTTACGCAAGCTGACAGTTGCTATTGGCCATGCGCTCGTAACCACCTGTCGCTCCCTACCTGCGCGGAGTCGTCGCAACTGCCGTTTTCCCGCCGCAACCGAGTCCCGAACTTAACAACACCAGCGATAAATAACACTGGACGGGCATCGCTCAGCGTCGCGAGCGTGTGGAATTCAAATGAAAAGTATCCGATTCGTACGTGTTCCGTTTACATATTGCCTTTTAAGTCGCCCGTGGACGCAGCGCCTGATAGCTATATGTATGTTTAGCGCGCGGCCATTGTCTTCGATCACGACCGTCGCGGGGTTTGAATCCGAATGAGGCGCGGATGCGAGATCGCTTGATCCGCTGGCGCGCTTACGAACTATGAGGACTAGTCTGTGAGATGATCAAGTTTCGGTACAAGCGCAAGGAGCCCAACGATGGCGCCTCGAAGAGTGGTGTCGCGATACAGAAGCAGAAGATCGAAGGGCTCCGAGACAGGGAGCTGTTGCCTCCGAAGGATATGATGCTGGTGGGCTCGCTCGCCGGAGTCCGGCACAACACGCTGCCCAGGTCTCGCCCGCCCTCCGCCGCACGCCGCGACCCACCTGACCAGCTACTGCACCCTACAACCGTATCGCTGTTCAGAGTAAGTTCATAATCGGAAACAGAGCAATCGTTCGGCACTTTTCAATTAAAAAATGACGCATATACTCGTAAGCTATACTGTTATTGCTGTTTATTTACTCGAAACCGTTAGTGTTTACTTTTGAATAACTAAATAATCGGTTGTGCTTCCCAATTGATCAATTGATGAAACTTTTAAAGTAAGATGTTGCGTAAAATATCATAACTTCTTGCATATGACTGAGTAAATGATTAATTAGAATACAATTTGACAGATAATCCATAATTTTCCTAATTTAATAGTTAAGTTCCTCCATAATTTTATCAATGAAAAGGCTTACTCATATTAAGTATATGAAGTCTATTGTTATTGTCTATTAACAGTAAGGAAAATGTAAGGCTTTTCCTCGCCGACAACAGTTATTTTCCGAGTAAGAAATAAATTATTATTCAAAGGTGGCCGCTGACCGCTTAAAGCCACTGCGTGGACTCCTTCGATGGCAATTTGCCATAAGAATATTTAACAGGATTGTAGTCTCCGTGTACACGCGGCCCGCCTTAATTTGTGCCTAGGGTTGCCAAATAATAGGGAGTCAATTTGCAATAGACATATAAATTATAGAATTTTTTATATAGTTTGACTTATAGATTATCGCGATTATAATTGTTTTTATAATAGTTAAATTGGTAACATACTTTGTCTTAATGTATCTTTATAACGTGTTTTATTATAATGGTATTGACAACCCTGCTCGAGGTCCTCGAATATTCTATTGTCTCTGACGCTTTTGTAATATAGATGACTACGAAACATTTTAAATTAATTAAAATGTATGTCCTCCGACACCTTTAAAGTTCACATTTGCTATCCACTGGGGGATTGTGAGGAAATTTATTTACATTGATACATTGTATAAACTAATATGTAATGCTATCATTAATTAAATATTAGCAAAATGCCATACATAACAAAATATGGCACAATACTTATGGACATACAATAATTATTGGAATTATATCTAACCTCATAGCGTTGACGTGGCAAATATTAATTAAAAATGTGTTAGTCATTATGCTTTTGTTTTCAAAATAATCTTTTGTGTCTCTTAGCCAAAGAATTTTATCGATATTATCTGCATATTCGGCTTCTAATATTGTTAGCAGGGTCATAATAAACATTAGTTAAAATAACTACTAACGATACCAATTTTCACATCGTAGACTGACTAATATTAAGTAACACGTGTAACAAGTGGACAGAATTCGTTCTGTCAAAAGTTTTTTTTTCTTATAGTACTAAAACCCTCCGCGGACCATAAGGAATATACAAAAAAAAATAGCCGAATTGGTCCAGCCATTCTTGAGTTATGCGCTTACCGACATTCATTTTTATTTATATAGATAACTAGCTGACCCGGCATTATTTTGCCATATAAATTATTTGTAGAGTAAAAAAAATGTTTGGGGTGGACCACCCTTAACATTTAGGGGTATGAAAAATGTTGTCCAATTCTCCACCCTGGCCGATATGCACACAAAATTTCACGAAAATCGGTCGAGCCGTTTCGGAGGAGTTCAATTACAAACACCGTGACACGAGAATTTCATATATTAGATATACCTATTAGTTTAATTCAAACTGTCTGAACGACCAGGCTATCAGAAATCTCCGGTGGCAGGGTCAAAGCGTTTACGGCGCCCTGGGATCGTCAGAGCCACCATTCGCACGCGTCAATTACCAAGGCCTAGCCGCGTTCACACAGCACTACGCTTCGTTTACCTAAATGTGCCTATAACATTGTTATGGAACAGAAGGTTCCGCGTTTGTTTCTTACATCTGCTCCGGCGTCGCGATACGTATTGTCACTCATTTGATTTATAGTTTTACGCGATATATAATTAAGATTGCTGGCAACACTGAGTGACCTCATTACAGAGTGAAACAAAGGAACAGTGAGGAGCATTTCTTTCGCCCTCTCTTACCTTCTCAATCCTGAAGACGCTAAATAGATCGGTCCAAATCGTATTTAGCCTTCAGTATTGAAATTTAGAAATAAGTCGACATACTATAGTTACCGTAATCGTTCTGTGTTACTTAATTATTTATTACAATAGAAAAACTCCGCGCACATTAAGGTATTGTTTATTTGTCACCTTATTTTCATTCAAACGAGGACAAAATATCACAGAAGGTAACTAAAAAGAATTAACGAATTAACAAAAGTAGCAAAACTCAAAAGTGTTTAGTCAATATTGAATTTTTTTCGTTTCTGAATTGTCAAAATTAATATAAAAGACAAAATTGTGAGTGATGGGACTAAGAATTGTTAGACGTTTTACGCAAGCGCGTTTCGATCAAACAATGCCACAGGTTTCGAGTTCGTTAACTTCTTGGAAAAAGTCACACAGATACTAGAGGAAAAGCTTATCTATTCTGATATGAGAGCAGTAATTGTATGTGAATTATCTTTTCTCTTTTCTTTTTTCTTACCTTCCAACAGGAACAGATAAATAGCGACACAATTAAACACTTACGTTATCATAGATTTAGAAACCAATGAAATGCTCATTACTAAATTATGCTCATTATTTTTAATGCTTGAGATTTTAATAAGTGTAGTAATTTTCATGCTAAAATTAATTAAACAATGATTTTTTAACTGTAATCCTTTAATATCAATACATATTATATAATGAGATTAATAGTTAATTTTCATTTAATCATTTAAAATGATTCAAAGAATGATATTTACCCGAACGCTATAGCGCACGTTTCTAGGATCGACTTAATAACGGTCACTATGAGGAAGGAAACAGTAATAAAACGTATGAAAAGTCATTTCCAGTATAAACGCGTACTTATTTTATTAGTGCCTATGGTCGTAAGACAGTACCGCAGCGTACGAGAAATCAACAACAAAATTTAACACGATTAAATCGATAAGAAAAGTAAATTGTAAATAAAACTATTAGGTACTTATATTATTGTAAAATATAAATATATTTAACAATATTTTGTTTTAAACTCATTAGTTTGAAGAAGTCGGGGTAGCTTAAAACGTACGGTCGGTTACTGGCCGATCACGTGCTAGCTGCATAGCGGAAGGCACGGCGCAAGCTGCGTCCGTTAATGCATCGGATAAAAACACCACTTGAATTACATCTACGTAGATTACATCATCCAGTTAATGACAGTTCTCTTGAAGATATGTAAATACGACTTGCTATGTTTATGCTTGAATAACGGAACAGTCTCTTGTCAGTCAGGGAATCGTACCTAAGCCCGTTACTTAGGTCTATCTTCACCCAAGCAGTATTATGAGGTCTGGTTAAAAACCATTTTTGTAATTGTATAATTGAGAGTCATTTATGTTACAGCATACACGAATGAATCAAATTAGGCATTAGGGACTTTGATAACTATCACAGACAAATTTCCAAGCAAGCAAATGAAATGCACGCTTTAAAAAGAAATAGATGACGAAATGCCAACTCCTATAACAAAGATGACCGTAAGCAAACATTACGACACGCACTAAAACTGAGGCGTAAGGGGCCCGTTTTTACGTACTACGTCGCATGATCTCGGCCGGGTCATGACTCGTTTCTGACCTATAATATTCGTGCCGTACTGGTTTTTTCCCCTGTCTCGAACAGAACATTGAATAATTTTCAGCTTTAAAACAATGGGTGTAAGAAGAGATTTTGAATGACGAAGGGATAAAGAATAACTTTCTTTACCAACACGACGAATTGAGCGGTCGTTTTCCTCGACAAGACCTTTCTTCGAACCAATGCTATTGCAATTAACGTTTTATTGGAGTAATAACTTTTGCAATATATTATCCAGATCAAATTAATGACATGGATATTATAAATTATGATCTATCAAATTTACTATGATAATTGTAATTGCAACAAATTTTTGTATTATTAGGGCGTGTTAGAACATTTTAAGGAAAATCGAATGTGTAATTTTACACCTATGTGACAAACAAAGAGGTATTTATATTCTACTAGCTTTTCGCCCACGGCTTCGCCCGCTTTGAAAACCTTAAATGTAAATATCTTTTTTAATAAAAATAATCCTGTCCGTTTTAATACCTCTAAAATATGTGTACAGTTTCATGCCTAATTGGTTGAGTAGTTTTGGCGTGAAAGCGTAACAAAAAACTTACATTCACATTTATAATATTAAAAAATATATATAATATAGGGATCAATTTATACGTACATTTACTGTGTATTTATAATTTGACAAGAGTGACTTTCAAGGCCCATGTTTGATAAGTTGGTACTTAAAATCGTAGGGGCGCCTACGATTTTAAGTACCAAATTAAACAAAGGACTTCAAAAAATTCTACCTCAAAGGCGTATGTACGCCGGAGTACGTAGGAGATCGAATGTCCCTAATACTCGAACTAGAATGCAATAAGATGTATTTTCAAATTATAATGACGCATTTTCAATCGTTCACAGGAACTGTTCGCCCAGCTGCAATGGTCCGCGGAGAGGGCGCCGGCCGCGGACAGCCTGAGGCGCGCGCTGGGCGGCGGCGGCGCCCGCTTCCAGCTCGGCTGCATGGCCGACGCGAGCGAGTGCTTCGAGCACCTGCTGCTGAGGGTGCACGCGCACGTGGCAGCCGGCGGCGGCGACAAGAGGGACGACGACGCGTGCAGGGCGCCGCACTGCGTGCCGCACCGAAAGTTCGCCATGATGCTCGTCGAGCAGTCCGTCTGCGGCGCTTGCCAGGCGACTTCCGAGCCCCTGCCCTTCACCCAGGTGCGTTGAGATTGAGAGGCACTTTTTTATGAGAGTAGGTGGCATCGCCATGATGCTCGTCGAGCAGTCCGTCTGCTGCGTTTGCCAGGCGATTTCCGAGCCCCTTCACACAGGTGCGTTGAGATTGAGAGGCACTTTTTTATGAGAGGTGGCAAGCGAGGTGGCGGTTCATCTAACGGTAAGTGATAACCGCCGCTTATGGACATTTGCACCTTTTAATAAAGTGGGCTCCGGCCACCGCACTCACCAGACGAAATGCAGAAGTATAAGACTTCTACTTCACGCCGGTTTTCTGTGAGGTCGTGGTACTTCCCCGGATGGCCTTACCCATCTGTGCTATAGCGTAACTGTTGCGTGGCCCAACCACTGCTGAACGTTTAGTTAAAAATTAACTCTATCTGTAGAATTTGCCAGCAGTCACCCTGAAAGCTTTTATAAAACAAAAATATGCTGTAAAGAACCCCTAATTTAAACATGTTTTGTTAAAATCCTTTACCTATGTCCTTCATTTATAAGGGGACATATAATTTTATGTGAAAAATTGGTAAGCGTACAGGCGGTTCAACTGATTGTGTTGATTACGTTACGTAAGTCAACTTTTAAGAAAATGCCAGGTTACCACAGACGAAAAACGAAAGTATGATAATTTCAATTCACATCGGTTTTCTGTTAGGCCGTGCTATTTTCTCGCCGAGCCTGCGCATAGTGACAGAAAGAGATATATTCAGATACTTATAGACAATTTTACTGCGGTACGTAATAGCTCTTTTCATAAGTTTTTTTTTATCAAGAGCTTTTCTTGTTCAATTTACCTTACTGTAAAATATATGTCTCTTATTTATACTAATGATGAAAAATGTTAAATGTTAGTATTTCCGTAATTTCAGATGGTTCATTATGTATCGGCGACGGCGTTGACAACTCAAGCTGCTTTTGGCGATCACGGTGACAGTTTCGGCACATTGCTAAGGAAAGCTGGAGGCATGGGCGATATTCGAGACTGTCCTGTAAGTTTCCGTTTAGCTTTTAAAATGTTTTACGCGAATACCTACGTGCTATCAACACGGAACAAATTTAATAAATATAGTTTGTTACAAGTATATATATTAAGGATCGTGCTTCATGTCGTCAGCCTGTAACAATGAATAATTAGTTTATTCTGTTTCATCATAATAACTTGTTAATTTTGATTCATTCCCTATTTCATGTTTTCTTATTTCTTCATCCCCTAATTGCAGAACGCGTGCGGTGCGAAGATACAAATCTGCCGGACGCTCATGAACCGGCCCGAAGTGGTGTCCATCGGCATGGTGTGGGACTCGGAGCGGCCGTCCGCCGAGCATGTGGCGGCCGTGTACGCGGCGCTCGGCACCGAGCTGAGGCCCACGGACGCTTTCCACGCGTGCGTCGACTGCGCGTGGGCGGCCAGGGCCACGCACCGGCTCGTCGGCCTCGTCACGTACTACGGCAAGCACTACTCCACATTCTTCTTCCACAGCAAACTGCGCGTGTGGATATACTTCGACGACGCCGACGTGAAGGAAATCGGGCCCGAGTGGTCGCAGGTGGTGGACAAGTGCCGCAGGGGCCGGTTCCAGCCGCTGCTGCTGCTGTACGCCGCGGCGGACGGCACGCCGTGCGACACCCGCCACGCGCCCAAGGAGGTGGTGCCGTTCCCGGCGCCGGAGCCGAGGCGGGCGGTCACCCCGGCGCCCGAGCGGCCGAGCGCCGGCTTCGCGCGCAGGGCCGTCACACCCGGCCCCGACAGCGAGAGCGACTACGTGAGCCGTAAGGCGGTCGAGAACATGCTCGACGTGCAAGCCAGTCGGCGGGCACAGCTCGCGCGCAGCCTTAGCACCGGCTCGGCGTCGGACTCACAAGAGAGGCCGAGGTCGCGTAGGGACTCCGGTAATTGGAGCGGGGACCGGAACAGCGCTTCGTCTGCGTCGTCCTCGACGGCGGACAGCCCCTACATGTATCCCAGGGGCCGGGGAGCCGGGAGCGTTCCTAGCAGCCCGACGCGTAAGGGAGAAATGTCCAGCGGTGGCTCTTGTGACACCGGCTACGACTCGTACTCATTGTCTTCAACGGACAGTCTCCCCCAACAGCAAAACCACAGGCCGCCTAATTTGCAGCTAGCGCAGATACCCGAGCTCACGACACGCGGGGATTGCGATGCTCTATGCTCGGAAGCCGACACATTGCTCGATAAGTCTCGCCACGCAGAGGATGCGGCAGACTACGAGGCCGCTCTTATACTTTGTGACAACGCCGCGGCGAAGGCGCGAGCAGCGATGGACGCGCCGTATAACAATCAACATACGATGACAGTTGCCAGAATGAAACACAACACGTGCGTTATGCGGGCGAGAAGTTTACAAAGGAAGATGGCGGGAATGACGAGACCGCCTGAAGTGACTCTAGCCGTTCCCGTACGAAACACTAAAGGTGGCCTTGAAAATTCGCCCACAATCGAAATTTATGCCACCCTCCCTAAGAAAAAGACTTCGTCGAAAAAGTCAAAGAACATCGATGAGGATATAGATAATAATACGCGCGAACGTCCACCGAGGCATAAATCTCGAGATGAGGATAAAAGTCGTGAGAAACGATCCAGAAGCGAAGATCGCGGCCGGGCGAGGAAAGAACCTGCCGTCACTACAGAGAAAAAGGAGGAACCCATTGAAGACAAGAAGGCTAATAAAAAACAGCACAAAATAAGGAGAAAATTGTTAATGGGCGGCTTAATACGAAGGAAGAATAGGTCCATGCCCGATTTGACTGAAGGTGCTGATGGTAAAAGTGAACCGAATAACAAAGACAAACGGACTACTTCCATCGATGACGCTGATGTGGGGAGGAGGAAGGACGAGGACAAATCCAATTTAAGCGGATATCTTTCCGAGGGCCATTTGGAATACTCAGCCGCAAGCGGTACCAATCCGAATCTCGAAAGAAGTAAGCTAATGCGGAAGAGCTTCCACGGTAGCGCTGGTAAGATACTCACGGCGGCTAAAGTGCCACCACCGCCGCCCTTGCGAACAACTTCTCAGCTTAGCGGGCCTAAGTTCGAAGCAGAAGTGATTGAGCACAGTATGCAAACTCGTCCACCGCAACCCTTACCGGTCATCCACCGTGGTGACTATTCCTGCGTTCAGAATAACGAGGACGGTGGCTTTGTTGAGCAATACGGCAGTGAACCCCAATCTTTACCGTACTTACCTACATACGACGGTAATGCAGTCAACCATTACAATAGACTGGAAGACTCGCCATCACAAAACTTTCTTACGGTAGTCACAAAAGCCATGGTACATCAAGAACAGAGTCCTGTCAAAAGAGACACAACGCAAAATATACAGCCGTCACATAACAACATTCAGAATTTGAGCAACGCTTTTGATAATGGCGTGGATGTCGTGGACTTTGCCTTACCGATGAGAAGATCACCGCCAATGTTCGATTTGCCACCGTATCCCAGCCCGATGAATTCAGTGAATCATTCTAGACAGCCCAGCGAGGAGTTCCCGCCGCCACCACCACCAATCGATTTAACACCACTGCAGGACGAACTGAATAAAATCCAACATAATTCCAATGCAATTCAGGAGTACAATGAAGACGATAAAGGGGGGGTTACTAAAGGCTCCCTCCTGGCACAATTACAGGAGAAAAGAAATCAGATTTTGAGGAATGAAGAATGTGCCAACAAACACAACCAATTGGATACAGCACACATTCAAACCGATACTTGGCTTAGGGAACTGCAAGCTAAGCAAGCAAGCTTGAAACTTAGGAGATCAGGTTCCCTCGAGGGTCAGCTGTCGAGCCCTAACGAAAACGTTCCTCATAAAGCATTTGAAACTAATAATAGTGTTAGAAACATTGCATCGAGATTCGAATCCAACACACAGAATATTTCCACCGAATCTGATCGGTCTCATGTTGGTTTTATAGGCATGAGCGGTAACAGAGATGTAATTAACTGCTCAAACCAGTCCAATGCCGGTATCTACAGTAGACGTACATCGTCATCATCTATAGACCCCAAGCAGATGGACGACGAATACGGTGATCAGAAAACGGCCAATAACAACATATCTACACAATACGGGGATCGTTCTAAGCCCAAGAAAAAGTCCGTTTCTTTCTGTGACCAGGTAATCTTAGTGGCAACAGCGGAAGACCAAGAAGACGACAGCTACATTCCCAATCCGATACTGGAGCGCGTACTGAAATCCGCGATGAATAAGCCGGAACTCACAACGATGCCTTTGCAGACTGAGAAACCGTCGCTGCAGCGCCAAGACTCGTTCGATAGCCAGTCCTCGCGATCTACGATATCCTCGCTATCGCAAACGTCCTACGTGCCAAACGACACCACGCACGCCGACTATTACAGAGTCCAAAACTATCCAGCGTACCAAGTCGTTCAGGCAAGGCACCAGCAACAGTGTAACGCGCAAAAAACCGCCGGCCTACACGGGACCAGCTCACCGGTTCAAACGCAGAACCAAAGCGGGAACAGCAATCAAATATATCAGACGTTGCCAGTTAGCGCTCAGAACCCCGCAACAAACCCCGTACCGTACAACCAGCCGCCGTCAGCTTACCAGACCAACGCGAGCCCACCGAATTTTAGTCAGAACCCCGCGAACAGACTGACGCCCACAGCGACGCCATACATGTCGAAGCACGTGCCCAACCTACAAAGGCCCGTTCCGAACACGTTTCCTCACCCACCGAGCCAGCTTCACCCGATAAGCCAAACGCCCAATAACGCTTACTACCATAGACTGCCACAGCAATCTACGACAACGCTTCCCAACAACTATCCAACAAATCGTCAATTCAACCAGACCATGCCGAGCAACAGCACATCTTACCAAAGCATCCCCACCAATTCACCGGCCTATCAGAGCTACCACAACCCACCGACAAGCTACGCTAGCTCCGATTATTCTAGTCGATATCCCCAAGTGAATAGTACAAATCACTACAGCGCCACGCATTCGCCCTACCAACGAGTCCCACCACCACACGGCGACGTGCCTGTCGAAAGCTACAACAACAATAATTATCAGAAATCACCGAACTACTACCTTGACAACAACGCGAGCAACCAAAGCCGCGTGCCGGACACTAGGCACTACGCAAATTCGCAACACCAGCAACGGTCCAATTACAACCACAACCACGTTGTTGATAACAGTACGCCCAACAATGAGCAGATCTCTCAGTATCAATACCAGAACAGCTATAATCCCTACCAACACTTACCACCGCCTAAGCAAATACAAAAGAAATCGGTATCTTTCGAACCAGGAACTAAGGGCGGAACGGACTCTCCGATACCACCGCAGATGAACTCAAATAACTTCTGCGGTGCAGACGCGCAGACAAACATTTTGTCTTCTGCACAGAAATCTGTTTGTAATTTATGCCGAAAGAAGAGTGTTAACCCCCCGGCAATGTATTGCCCCGATTGTGACTATTACATGTCAAGGTTTAAACCTCGTTCATAGCGTCACGATGTATCTTGTGAACTGTGATCGTTCGAACTCTATCAAAATTTAGAATTTAAGAAATGAAAACAAATCGTAGATATAGATACATAAATTGACTGATCTCGTGAATGTTAGTTTTGTAATGCATGGAGAATAAATTAAAACTGAGTATGTACTTAAACATATTTTTAAGATTTTTTACCTGAGAAATGAATATAGTTAGAATTAAGATAACGTTATGTGCTTTATGAAATATACATAACTGAAGCGAAATACAAAATTTAAATAAAAAAACTTCATCTTTTATTAACCTTTAAAGCAAGGGCAAGTAAGATTTTTTACCTGAGAAATGAATATAATTAGAATTAAGATATCGTTATGTGCTATATGAAATCTACATAACTGAACCGAAATACAAAATTTAAATAAAGAATCTTTGTCTTTTATTAACCTTTAAAAATAAGACCAATAGGCACTAAAAATTAAATGCTAAAAACAATTTTCACATAAAATAAAACTTTTGATTGCACCTTTTAAAAGATGCGATACAGTTTTAGTTAATAATGGATCAGATTTTATTATTTAGTGACTGATTGCATATAACAATAAATACTAACTTAATTACATTAGTAGAAGCGTTGTTAATGTTGAAGAAGAGTGTAATAATTAGAGCTATTTATTTTTACTCGAATTAGGTCAATCTAATAAATGTGATATTGTTACGAATCAGGGGTTCGGTATTGGAATGAACGACGGACATTTAAAACTTCACTTTATTAACATCCGAAAACGTTTTCGGCGGTTCTTTTAATACTGCTCAAATCTTCACATATTAATACAGGTTCGACGGCCCTTTCATTGCGCACCAATCTTCCAGTTACGCGTCTCCAGGCACAGTTCAAGCAGTGAACGTCACCTCTAGTTTCTTTTTTGTTGAATCGTTCATTACTGGTCTTAAGGAGGCCTTTACAGATCCACCGAGCTTGAGGTGGCCGGGCGCTGAGGGAGTCTAGCCTAAACCTCGTTTATAATAAGCCCGAGGGCTCCCGAGGGAACCTCGACTCGGGCCGTCACTTTGATAGTATCATTACGGGATTTCCTCGCCAATCTCTTAGGTCGCTTTAACGGACGCTTATCGGGAAAAACTCCGGCAAAGCTTCTGTTATTAATAGGAGAAAATCTGCCAGGTACGTGGTGGAATCTAGAATAAGTCTTCTCGTGCTTACGTAATTAGTTAATAGTATTGGTGGCGATGGTCGTCTCATCGTCTGGAAAATCGATGACGTAACGCGCCATTGGCAGCGGAACGTACTTTACGGTATTATAGGTGACAGCACCTACAACTAGTTGATAGGGGTGAGTGGCGGCGGACTCAAAGTAATAATGCAAAGTCGACTTCCATTATTAAGCGATGGTGGGGAGGTCGAAATCTTCATGTAGGTCGATGTTGCGAATAAACCACGGTGCTCACGTGGCTCTGCGAATCGATTTTGAATAACCTGAAGTCAGTGAATTTGTTTCGGTGCAATGTGCGCGAATACGGGACTAGCTACTATAGGTCGTATATTAACTATAGGGCGAACTACTACCTTATATAAGGTAGTAAATACACGGCCCGCTTGTACTACTGCCTTGTATAATGTTCCGAAGGGATATCTTGGATTTTTTTATTAAGGAATATAGGCGGCGCAGTAGGAAGTTCCCGGTTCTTAACCCGTGTTAGGTGTTTGCCGCAGTTGAGCTTAGAGTCAAGAACGACACCTAAATATTACTTTATTGACCATGGTAGTGGACTAGCCATGAGAATGACGGGTGGAGAATTGGTCACCTTATGGTGCGAGAAGTACAACGCCGCGACGGGATAGAGCTTTACCCTCCATTGCCGGAACGAGTCATCGATAGTGATGGGCTTTGTGCCTCACGCGAAGAGGCTGGTGATGTCAGCAAAGAGGGCAAGTTCTACATCTTTGAGATGCAGTATGTCGTTCGTATAGAACGTGAAAAGGACGCCCGAAATGAAAGATCCGATTACTAAGGAAGTCTCGTAAAGTGCATGTAAGACGATTGGGCGCTGTCCATGTAGCACGCTCCAGGCCCCTTTTATATTCGATCGTCTTTGCGAATAAAACGTTCTAGAAACTATTTGAATTACCTTGGGCGATAACTTGAATTGCTTTGCGAACGTGAAGGAATACCGTTGATAAGAGATTTTGTCGATGGAGTTGCAATTCGAATGTATCCTACTGACAGATAAGTAGACGCATACAATGCACATATGATTTTGAGCCATTTTTTGAAGTTACATTTTTTTATTACATATGTGAAAAAAACATATATGTAAACATCCGAATTGATATCCTCCTCCTTTTTGAAGTCAATTTCTTTTCATAAAATCGGTTACAATGATTAATATTTCTAATTTCTGGCACTTACCTACTCTGTTATCTCCAAGTGTCCATAAACGGCGGTGATCGTTTACTACCAGGTGGTGGTTTGCCTCCTTTTTCCATAAAAAAATCTAGAACAGGAAATCACCTAAATCCTAACCGTTAAAGAGCTGTATCTTCCTCAGTCAGTTAAGCATCGTGAGATGATGATGCACATTTTGCAAATGTCTCAATAGCTTTAAAAAAGCAGATTTAACAAACAGAGTTTGATGTATAAACTACATTATTTTTTCATTGTATTTTCTGTTTTTACAAAAATAATTGAAACTACTAATCAACTACTTTTCAGCCATTTAAAAATTGGGAAAAACTTAAGTTATTAATTTGTAGCAAGCCTCCCCTAAACACGCACACCTTGACAGTTTGGTTATAATAAGTACACGAGCGGCATTTACACATATTACGCAATCGGAGACAGTTTTAGTTGTTTATTATGCATTGCTTCATCTAGACAAATAACATAATCAAAGAGTTCATCTTTTCCTTAGTAGAAGGTTTAACTTTCAAAGAATCTATAAATACTAGAACTAATGTAGATCAACAAACTGAATCTAACCTAATTCTCAATTTGTTTTTTTAATAATAATTTTAATAACTTTACCTTTCCTTTATATGTATTATATACAATATTTATATCTATAAGTTTATTTTTATTCATAATATTTACTTAATATATTCTATACATTTATTTTTTATCTATAAACCCAACCAGACGAGAAAGAAACTTTAATAATTACTTCTACCTTATATGTATTTTTAATACTGTAAAGGATAGTATCATACGAATATTGCAGAATTAAATAAAAAAAAATTTAATCAGCGGAAAAATGTTTGTTTTTTTCTACCAAATTAAAAGGTTCGGTACGTATTACGAACAGAATTGGTAGCATTAGGAAGAGTTAATTCATAGCTGGCAATACTCAAGCGATAAATGGTAAAAACATCAAGTTGGCAGTTCTTTAATGGCGACCGCTAGAGACGGTCCGTTTAGGGAAAATTGACATTCTAATATTTATTATTTAGAACTTAGGTAGTTACCGTGTTTACATAAACATGACCGGAATTTTACCTAGTTATCAGCGCTTTGTGAATGGGGTCCCGGTGCCGTCCATCTCACGACGGTCTTTTCGTCTCCGAGAAAAATATTTGATCGTTTCTGTACTTTTGACATTTGCGATCGTGTGGTTAGGTGCACTTTTCTACTTGCCCGAGTTCAAAAATTCCAATAGTGTGAACGATAGTGTGTATAATGTGTACAAACGTATACAAAAAGCTGGTCCTGAGCTTCTTATGCCACCGCCTGTAATGCATAATGAGGTGGGAGAATTCGCTGCTGTGGGAATTGTTCGACACGGCGAAGAAGGTGATGATCCTCATATAGTTGAAGACAGGAATCGTCTGCGTGCAAAGATTGAGGAAGATATGGGTATGAAGGTTTTAGAGAGACCTCAATTCGATGCGGCACCTTCAGCTTCATCTTCTCGTGGCCCTAGTAAACCGCCAGTCGATGCGATAGAGGAACCTGCTATGCAAAATAATGCTGGTAATAAAGATGTTTCACCAGCCGGTCAAAAAGTAGATGGAACTGAGAATAAATATGTTGCAATAGCTTTAAAACCTGGGGCAGATATTGAGCAGAAAAATAAGCTGGAGGCTGTAAAAGAGGTAAGTTTTAAGTATATTTTAAAGTTAAATTGTAGAAAAGACGTGATTTTTTTGCTTACATACTGTAAGCAGTTTAGAATTATTTTCCAAAGTTTACCTTGATCTTATCCTTTTTAAATAACTCCTCTTGTTGTGTAAGAATGTTTTAAAATTTTTTTTATTTTAGGTTTGTATAACACTATTGTCCAATAAACTTTTTTGAGCTACCAGTTTTCTTGCATAAAGTCTGGAAAAATTTAGATATTTATTACATAATATGTTTACACACTTACAAACTTCACCTACCATATACCATCCACTAGGTTACTTAGTAAATAATAAATTATGTAGTTTGTTTCTTCTTAATTTCCTCTATATAAATATTGTTTTTACATTTCTCATTTATTAGTAGTAAAAGTTTACATTCAATAAAATATTATTTACTATAACTGAGATTGTTTTTGATTGATCATTGTGTATTGTACACAAATTGGAGATTATCGCCTTGGATGTTTCAAATAATTCAGTTCTAGAGTATATAAAACTGTTTCTATTGTGTTTTAAAGTAAAACTAACTAATGAAAGACATAACAGATCATTGAAATTTAACTATATGGTTCTCTATTTTTTCCTTTTGAAATTATGATGATCTTTCTAAAAAAAACTTAGCAGGATACTAGTGAAGATGTGATAAGAAAATGTCTATAATTCTTTATTCCTGTATATTGTGCAGATGGAAACATTATACACTATAGAAATCTTTGTTATGCTAAAAGCACAAGGTTGTCCGCATATTTATTTCCAGTATGAGACTTATTATATGCAGTGTGCATGTAATTGTCTATCATGATTGTCAGACCATGAACATGTGTTTGTTGAAGTACTATTCCATGCAGCTTATTTATGTTAACATTTGTGTTGGTAAATTGGATTTTATACTAGAGTGAAATGTCTAAATCTTACTTAAAGGTGGTAAGCAAGTAGGCGGTTCACATAATTTTAAGTGATAACAGCTGCCCATTGACATTTGCAATACCTGTAGGGTTACAGATGCATTACCATCTTTTAATAAAGTGGGTGCCGCTGGAAACGGGCTATAGAAATGCCAAAAAGCAAGACTTCCATTTGATCCCTATTTTCTGTCAGGTCTTACTACTTCACCGGACAGACTTGCCCAGCATTTATTTTGAAATTTTGACACAGTGTTGCAATCAAATTCGTGCGTGTTTTTACGTATGATACACCATTTGTAGGTAAATGGTTATAGCTGAAAAATGCTCTTATACGAATTCAAAATTTTCGCGCAATATTTCACTGCAACAAGTGATTGGGTAGGTATTATAAAATAATAACACATAACTTTTGAATATCTTTATGAATTTCTCCATATAAAAAAACATTATACATCTAGACACAGCTTGCACACTAAAATTAAGCAAGATAATGTCTCTTTAAACTAGAAAAGATTGAATGAAATTTATAGGCATGCATGTAACAAAGTTTTCCATGTTAATTTTGTTTATGACTGTATGACACATCATTTACCTATGCAATGTTCGTTGACCGAACTGTGCCGGTAACAGGACGCTGTGAAACTTCGCATTATAAATATTGCTACCGAGTTTATCACTAATATAGGAATTAATGGTTAAATCTTCACATTATTATTTGACACCCGGTAAAGACATAAAGGGAGTATTGAATAGTGTTTTTAAATAACATCCGTGAAAATGACAATCTTCGTAATATTTAAAAAGTAACGCGTAAATAAAAAAAAAATGACAAACATATTTATGTGCCCTTACATTGCAAATGCTGGCTAATCCTTATACGTTTATCTATAAGTATATGTTTTATCTCCTAAGGATAACCCACAGTAACTTTTTTATCTTTTATTGCACCCCTGCGAAGCCGGAGCGGGTCCTAGTACTTATGTCGTATATTGTAAAGCGGAATAGTTTTTAAACGCCACGCAGTAAGGACATAGTCATAATTGTTGCCATCTATAAACTTACTAATATAATTAAAGTGTGATAATTATTTGACAAGACTGCCCAGCAACACTCGGGTAGACCAATGAAGGTTGATATATGAAATTTCCCTAACCTTATTATTCGGAGAAAACTGAATTCGCGGAATGCCCGTATGAATCGTAAGTGAAGCGCTTTTAGAAACAATAATATTCTCTCACATATTAGGACAGTCAAGAAGCTGACGTAATTCATGGTAGCACGGCTACGTAGTAGACTGCCAATTAGTCCGCTTTGGACTTGATCTTCGATTTTTTGTCCAATATTACTAAATGAAATATCGCGTTGGATTCCTGACGTTTTGAACCCTTTACAGCGTTCATGGTCACCGGACCTGTGTTTCAGTGCCGTGTCTGTCCCGTGTAATCGCTTAAATACAAGAAATTAATAAATATTGAGATTTCTAACTAAAAATCTTTTTAACCGACTTCAAAAGGAGAAGGTTTTCAATTCGAGTGATTTTTTTTTTAAGTTTGTTACCTGAGAACTTTAGACTGAGTGAACCGATTTTGATGATTATTTTTTTATTTGAAAGCTGGTGCTTCCCATTTGTTCCATTGGTATTGGACCTTTGGATCCGGAGATACTTAGGAAACTCTTGAAAATCAACTATAAGTCGGTTTTGTTTTTCGTTACTAAAAAAAATTACTCGTTTATTTTATTGTAAATATTCTGGAATTTAATATGAACTAGTCTGCATGACTCTCTGGCGCCGTTGCTGGGCAGCGGTGCGGGGCAAGTATTTGTGTGACCCATAGATAATTTATTATGATCTTGGTGTTTGATTCCCAAGGAGGTTTGACGGCAGGCGGCCGTAAAAACAAAGCCAAAACCGCTTACAATATGAATCACATGTTGTGGGGATCCCATCTAGGCGGGACAAGTGCAGGAGGATGATGTCTGGAGAAGTATAATCTCAGGAATTAGCGCTAAATAATATCTAAACATTTCATTAATTCCAGAGATTACCCTGTACAATATTAGAGTGGAAATCGTCGAATACGTCCTGATAATACATAATTAATAAACCTGAATAAGACCTTAAAGTATCGATATAACATGTAATCCCACAGTCCTCTTAACAACACCAATACCTATATAATACAACTCTGAGTACGGCGGCAAATAAAACTCGCAGAGCTATAAAATATTACAAATTATATTAGGCATTATTTTTATTTTCGTAATGGTCCTAGTTTGCGAATAGCCCGGCGTCGTACAGTATTAATGTTTCATTAAAGTTCCTGTTACACAGAAATAAAATTATTTTTAATAATGACTTTAGTAAATTATTAGTAATACTTGGCGAGTTTGACATCTTATGATTTAAACATCATTAACTGAACTCGAGTATATTACTCGACTTTAGTTAAGTTTTTGATAACTACCGGATCATCATACTGGTTTTTCGATGTGACCGGTTGTAGCCAACTTACCGCCCACGTATAAATCATTTAATTACCGGCATTACAAGTACGTACGATTAAGTAGTATCGTACCTTTCAAATCAAAATTAACGCCGTGAATTCTGTAAGTCTTCTTTTTTTTACAAACAGCAGTATCCCAACTAAGGTTGATTTCCAAAGTGATGAAAGTTTAGTTATACTACTCGCTGTTACGCCGAAATTGTTGCGTTGTAAACCGAAATAACAATGTGTAATGGGATCATACTTTTATATTAATATTTCAAACAAAATTACCTCCTAGAAAATCAAGGTGGGAACAAATTTACTTCTTAAATTTTCCCAATTACCCCAGGTTTAAAAAAAATAACTGTGCGGACTTTATCATGATAGTATCAGACATGAAAAGCAATGAAACCTCTTCTGAAAGAACATAGTCTGCAGTTTTTCGAATAGTACCAACGAGCCCTAGATTCATGTATAGATTTTAATTCGAGAATGATTTGCGAGGCTATTTAAATAAAGAATTATATTATCGATGTTCCAATGGGAAACATCATTTGGCTCTTCCGCTAGCTTGGGATCGCGTTATTAATCATTATTTAAAGTCCATAACCCAGCGCATAATCCTTTCAGAATCAATTAGAATAATTCGTTGTGTAGATCTGATTCTGATTACTTTAAATATTTGCCCGGATTAACAGTGATACCAGAACGCCTAACACGTCAATCTGTCCTGTGATCATTAAATATCGATGTATATTAAATATCGACTTACATTAATGAAATTAAATAATAAACTGCAATAAAACCCGTAAGTTGTCTTATCAAAATTAGGCAGATACTTTTACATCCTTCTCTTTATCAAATATTACAATTCCGTAGTTCTGCAAGTACGAAAGGATGTTGATTCCTTAATCTAAAGAATCTTCATTTATACAAGAGTCCTCTTGTAAAAATAACTTATAAAAACACAGTTTTTTTGCGGCGATTAGCGGTATTAAGAAGCGGCCCGTGGACTCATTTATCTGGTTACCGCATTATGCTTATCTATGTAACGAGGCCATAGCACTGTACTGGGTTTTCAATTATGTACGTTTTGGTAGGCACTGTGAACTGTACGTTTCCCGACACCAGACGTTACATTGTCCAAGGAAAATGTTAGCTAGTAGGCCGCGTCCATTTTAATTGTATTTGCATATGTATTTCTTATTTCTGACCTATGATCGAAGGAGACGTTCTAATTTTGAGTTGTTGTGATGCTGATGGAGTAAAGTGAAATTGTTCATTGTAAATATTCCACGTCTTTAGTAAATTGTACTTCTAAGTAAAATCTTCCTTTAAATTTCCATGTGAAGCGAAAGTTTCAATTTTTGACCTGTGAAGGACGTTCCACTAATAAAAGCAATAAATTGGTTTATTAAGTTTGATAACAACGAAGCTGATAAGTTTATGTTGTCATTTAAATAAAAAGAGTCCTTTTCACTTTTAGGTTTTCATACAGAAATTATTTGATATATTATATATCAAAGATAATTAAAATACCTTTAGGACTGTTTGCTCTTTACTACGAGCATTAAAGGAAGATCTCATTTGACCAATTTGAGATCAATGCGTCACTGGGCTTACTCTTGCGGAACACTTTCTAATGAATGTTTACGATACCGTCCCTTCGAGACAAGCCATTGGCTTGCTACATTTAAAGACTTTGTTTAAGTTTCGTTTTTTTTAAGACGTATTATTTGCTTTAATTCGAGATATGTATTGTTGTGGTATTAGTCGTTCCGTCTTTATTTTACTTTTTAACCGACTTCAAAAGGTGTGTATTCCAATATGTTTGTTACCTCAGAACTTTATCCTGAGTGAACCGATTTTGATGATTATTTTTTTATTTGAAAGCTGGCGCTTCCCATGTGGTCCCATATTTAATTTCATTGGTATTCGGTCTTGCGTTCCGGAGATACTTAGGAAACTCCTCGTCGGTTTTGTTTTTCGTTAATAAAAATATGGACTTGTTCATTATCAAATGATTCGGTTGCTTTTTAAGACATAACAATAATTCGCCGTATTAATACATTGATCGTTCATTGTACCGTAAATCTCATTTAAAGCTCGACTATTGCAATAAGAAAAGAGCGTTTTTCCCGCCACACGGAAAAGTCACTTTTGAATAGGTACGACGCGATATACAGATTGTATCGATCGTACTCCGTCCGTGAGTATCGGTTTATCGAATGCTAATAACGCTCCGGTTGGGACCTAACGGCATTCGGTATCGGTCGCTTCGGAGGCGACACACTTTCGGCGAAGAACGACCCCGCTACCGCCATAACGTACTAGCCCGGGGCAGGGCTGCCAGTCGGAACAGAGGAAAGAGAGAGATTGTATGTAGAGAAGTAATAATAATAATAACAAGTATTTCGTAAGTACGTTTATACGTTTTTTATGTTCAGTGATCGAAGTCACCTTGTAATCGAAAACTAGGCTTACTAATATAAGTCATAAAAAAGAAAAAGCGATTAATCAGCAAATGCAGTTTGTTAAGTATTATGTAGACTTTAGAATTACTTAACGTTTTCGTTTTGAAAGTTTCATATTATTGTATAAAATGTCTTTAATAAACGATTAAATATTTTATTCCATTCTAACGGTGCCGCCGTGCACGCACAGTTGCAGTAAATTTCTACATTAGTATTAATTCGACGTTCTATTTTTTATACAGTACATAAATCACCTTAAATACAATATATCCAAATTATCTCACATAATTTATAAATATTATGGCCACATTGTTTCATGATGAAACAAAACAAACATATAAATCGCATCATACGA